TTTTTAGGCTTAGATTTAAATGTTTCAAAATTTTTTAATTTTTATACTCCGTAGTCTAATTAATAGAATATGTTTTGAATGTTTCTAATTTTTATTTTATATTTTTTCTAACTTTTCCAATTTTTATCCAATCCGTGATTGATTTCATTCATCTTTGATTTCAATTTTCTAATTTTTCTTCAATTCCGAAACAGCCTCTCTACTTTCGAGTAGGGGCAAGGTCTGCGTACACATACCCTCCCCAGACCCTACTCTTGTGGGATTTAACTGGGTTGTTGTTGTTGTTCCGAAATTTCACTCGGTTGTAGGTCTTTAACAATGTATCAAACAGATTAATTTTTATTTCATCATTCGTAGGTCATAGTTTTTATTTTCATTAAAAATAAACACATTTGTTCTTAATGTTCTGTTTTATTCATCTTCACTTTGTTCTCAATAATTAAACTTTTTATTTCATTTTTAAATATAAGATTTATCACATAGACATTTACTTGTTCCGTGTGTGTCCGTCAAATAGTATATACCAATGGTTTAAACCTAGCATATCCCTTTTTCATTGTATTTTAATATGTTTGTATATGCACTTTACCTTCTATTGAAAAATTTTAAAGTTTACTAGCATCACTCCCGTGCGTTGCATGGGTCATACTTATATTACTAAATTAAGATCATTTTTGAAGGTAGAAATCATCCTAAATAAGACTAAAACATAGAGAAAAGTACCAAAATAGAGTAATTAAGTAATTCTGCATGCAAAATTATTCTAAAAAGGAAACAATGTAGATCTTGTTTGCGAAATTAGTCCCTTCCTTTTTTATCAGAATTAAGTAATTATGCATGCGAAATTTTCTTTAATTTATCATTCTATTATTCTTAAAAGTATTTCCTTTTAAGAATAAAGTGATTAAGTAAATAATTACCTATTTAATTAGGCATAAATAATTACTTTTTGAAAAAATAATCAGGCATAAATTATTCCAAGTAATTATAATAATAATAATAGTAATAATTAGGCGTAAATATTTACCTATTTAAAAAGGAAACAAAATATAAAAAATCTCCTGCACCGTCCCTTCCTTTTTTATCACAATCAAGTAATTAGGCGAAATTAGTTAGGAAACAAATTACTCCCTTCCTTTTTATGCATGCAAAATTTCCTTTAATTTATCATTTTAAATAGGTAATATTACATAACCAATCATAGCCGTAGATCTTATTTGTTCCTTGATATCGACGGTGCAGGAGATGAATGCATTGGGCAGGAAAATAATTCCTCTGCTTTTAAGAATAGAGTGATATGACTTTGCATTGTGGTAATGTGGCAGTGTAAATGTGCAAATTACTATACTTTTTTGGTAATGTATATGACCATGTTTGGTAATGTAAGTCCTATTTCGGAAATAAAAACATGAAAGTCTTATTTTGGTATATTTTCAATGTTTTAGTCCTACTTTGGTCTTTCTCTCTTTTGAAGGATACAATTTCTTATCTAATACTCCCTCCGTCTCTGAAACATCTTCCCCTTTCATTTTTTCTTTGTACCTCAAACTCCTTCTTTTTTCTATTAAAAAACTACTTTTACTCCTTACTTTTTTATACCCTACCTATCACATCATACATTTTTACTAATAATCTATCTATCACATATTACTTTTTATCAATCACATCTATCAAGGGTGTTTTTAGAAAGTCAATACCAAAATATCTCTCCCTTAATTTTCCAAAAAGTCAATAAGGGAACTTCTTTCGGAACGGAGGGAGTAGAATATAAAGATTTTATTATTTTAAGGTACAAAAGTTAATTGTTTTACAAATAACGAAGGACTTCTTTATAAACTACATTACTCGTATAATTTTTATAT